GGAAAAAATTATTGTTTAAATAATGCAATATATGTTAGGAAAAAAAGAAGAAGATAGCAGGAGGGGAAGAATGAAGGGGGGGAAATCGGAGGGGGAGACCAACCATGAGAGACGATGGACTCTGAAAAACAAACTGAGGTTTCTAGAGGGGAGGGGGGTGGGGGGATGTCTGGTGATGGGTATTAAAGAGGGCACGTTCTGCATGGAGCACTGGGTGTTATGCACAAACAATGAATCATGGAACACTACATCTAAAACTAATGATGTAATGTATGATGATTAATATAACAATAAAAATTAAAAAAATAGTTCAGACGGTAAAATTTATGTCAACAAAATTGATGTGTGTTAACCAAAGTAAGAAAAAAAACAAGAATAAAATGACTCATGAAAAAAAATTATTGTTTAGTAGATGGTGTTTAGAAAACTAGCTCCTTTTGTAGAGAAAAATAAGACTTATTGAAAAAACTAAGATAGTAATCCTAGCCAGAACAGACCAAAGTGGTCTCCAGAAGAATTAAGAACCTAATGTGAAAAGTAAATCTATCAAGTTAACAGAGGGAAGAAAAGGACCTCTAAAATAAAATTTCAAAAGTACGAACAATAAGGCAAAACACTTACATAAACCTAGTTATGTAAAAATTAAGGTTTTCTGTCAAACACCAATAGATGACAGAATGGGAGAATATATTTGCAGTATCTCAAGCCAGCAACTCTTGTATATGGTACAATAACTCTTACAAATCAACTGAAAAATGACAATTCCAATTAAAAAATTATAAACAGAAAACTTTCAGAAAAAAAACCTGCAAAAGGTTTTAACTTGCTCACATGCAGAGCAAGTTCAAACAAAAATAAGATGCCATTTCATTCTATCACACTGAAAAAAGTTAAAAATTGTGTCATGCTAATTGTTGGCAAGGATATGAGGACACAGGCATCCGCGTGTGCTGGCGGTGCCACGACAAACGGGTGTAGCCATTCTGCAGAGCAACCTGACACACCTCGAGCAAAGCATACATATGTTTCATTCCAAAATGATTTTACCCCGGGTATAGATCCCTGAGAAATGTGCACACAGGTCCTTACTGGAGCACATACAATGATTTTCATTGTGGAGTTAGTGGCAGGGAGTTGGAGGCTATGCAAGTTAGGTGTTCATTGCTGAGAGGGTAAGTAAAATGTGGGGGAATGTATATGAATATTATGGAGCAGTTTGAAGCAATGTTCACAAAGCAACAATAAAAGATAGATCTTAAATACCATTTACATATATTTTAGGGGCGCCTTGGTGGCTCAGTCAGCTGGGCGTCCAACTCCTGATTTCCGCTCAGGTCATGACCTCAGGGTCGTCAGATGAAGTGGTGCATAGCCTCCACACTCAGTGGGGAGTCTGCTCCAGATTCTCTCTCCCTTTTCCTCTCCCTCTGCCCCGCCCCCCACTCATGTATGCTCTCTTGCTCTTTCTCTCTAAAAAAAATGAATAAGTAAATCTTTAAAAATACCATTTATGTATATTTTTTAAATACTTGCGCAGGAAACAATGTACAAGTTGCAAAAAACATACAAATAAAAATATAATAAACACTTTGGAATGGTTGTCTCTGGGAGGAGGAGAACAGGAATGGAGAAAGGAGATGTGAAGACTAATCATCTTTTTTTTTTTAAGTTTTATTTATTTGTGAGAGAGAGAGTGAGAAGAGAGCACAAGCGGGAGGAGGGGTAGAAGGAGAGAGGGAAAAGCAGACTCCCCGCTGAGCAAGGAGCCCGACACACGGGGCTTGATCCCAGGACCCTGGGATCATGACCTGAGCCGAAGGCAGATGCTTAACTGACTGAGCCACCCAAGTGTCCCAAGGCTAATCATCTTCTAACACACTGTGTAATGTACTTATGATTACTGTCTAGCTTTACTACTCTGTAAGCTTCATGAGGGCAGGAGTCTTCACTGCTACCTGAGTAAAATTCTTCACTCTTATATCCCAAGCACCAAGAAAAATACCCAGCACATGCTAGGCATTCAAATTTTGCTGAATTAATATATAAAGGAAGGGATCCTGTACAGCCCATTTGTGAAAATGATATTCAAAAAACAAGAATAGATGTATAGGGAAACATGACCCATCCAACTGGAATAGGGGATATGGATTATGAAAAGCTGGTGATGAAGCATTAATGATTTTGCCTGGCACTAAGACCTAGGCAGCATCATACTCAGCCAGAAATTAGAAATATGATGGGGTAGGTCTTGGAGATGTGGCCCATACCCTCAAGGATCCACTATCAAGAAGCATACAACTTCAGATTCCAGTTATATATGAGTAGTTCTGAAAAAAATCATTTTTAAATATCAGTGTACTAAATTATCTTTTCCTGTGTCAGACTCAAATAGATCATAAGATTAAAATTGATAACTGACTTGATCTAACATAGAAATGTATCCTGCTAGTACAAGCTAATAAAAGTTAACTTTTCAGCAACATTCAAATGAAAAAGAAATGGCATAATTACATATTCTATATTGAGAACACATACCTCTTCTCTACAACTTCTAATTATTCATTGGAAATTAACAGGATATATTGAATGTCATCTTTCCTTACAGGTCTGTAATTTTTTTATAAATTTTTTTAAAGATTTTATTTATTGGAGAGAGAGAGGACAGAGAGAGCACAAGTAGGGGGAGGGGCAGGCAGAGGGAGAAGCAGACTCCCCGCTGAGCGGGGATCTGTCGACACGGGACTCGATCCCAGGACCCCGAGATCATGACCTGAGCCAAAGGCAGACGCTTAACCAACTGAGCCACCCAGGCACCCCTAGGTCAATAATTTTTAAAAATTTACCACAAATACATATTGATAGCTTAAATCCATTTTTCATTCTTCCACACATTGTAAAACAACTATGGCTTTATGGTCACATGACATTTCCACTATAGAAAACAGTATTTATATAGTTGCCACAGTAACATGTTTCATTGGTATGACAATTCTAGGATGCTGTAAGATACATTTTTATTTCCTACAAATCTTGTTTCACTGCAGCTCCCTCCTCATTGAACTAATGACACTTATTTCTCCAGGGAAGTGTGAATAACACCTAAAACAAAAGGGTCATTACTCAGCTCTAGTATATGTGCTACTGAAGCAAGCGCCGCTCTGAGTTTTAAAGTTGACTCTTAAAAAAATTAATAGTCTCCAGAGCAGTCTTTGTTGAGAAAAGGGATTCCCAACTCTTTTTAAATAAAAACTCAAGGGGCGCCTGGGTGGCTCAGTTGGTTAAGCGACTGCCTTCAGCTCAGTTCATGATTTCAGGGTCCTGGGATTGAGCCCCGCACTGGGCTCCCTGCTCGGCGGGAAGCCTGCTTCTCCCTCTCACCCTCCCCCTGCTTGTGTTCCCTCTCTCACTGTCTCTCTCTCTCTGTCAATTAAATAAATAAAATCTTTAAAAAAATAAATAACAAACTCAAGTTTGGATATCTGAATGTAAAATTCTGACTACGGTATAGGGAGCAAGAGCAGCATCAGGTATCTCTGGGATGCTCAGGGCCCCACCCACTGAATCAGAACCTGTACATTAACAGTATTCCCTAGGTAAGTCATATGCACATTAAAGTGTGAGAATCACTGAATTAAAGTACTAAAGTACAAGTGGAAGACTGGGGAGAGACACTTCTTCCATTATAAGAGCAAAATAAAGTGAGTTTATATGTAGGTAGAAAATGATCAAGAATCAGTCTGAAGGTTTCTGTTGTCTTTCAAAGTTTTCATCCCCTTAGCAATAGGGAGAATGGAATAAGTTCCATTCATTCATTCATTCATTCCTTCATTCAACAAGTTAATGAGTGCCTATAACGTGGGAGGCAGTTTTGGTTTGTTTCAGTCATCTACATCAGGGTGGTTTTGGGGCATGACTGTCCACTCCTTTTCTTAATTTCAGAAATCTTGCCTTTTGCAAAATTTGTCCAAATCAAATTAAATTAATTGAATGACTTTAAAATGCAATAATTTCAGTGACACTATGCTATGGACAGCCTATAGATAAAGTGCATTTTCTTTTAAAATGACAAACCATGTTGGTACTAAAATGTAAATATATAGTTAGAAGACAACAATGAATCTGAAACAGGAATATTCTTTCTAAAGACTGCTTAAAAGCATTAAGTATACATTCAATATGCATTAAGCACATACTGTGTGCTAGGTCCTCTGCTAGGCATTTTAGATAAAAACATGCATGAAATAATCCCTGTAATATGGTCTGGTATACAGGACTGATCTTAAGGGAGAGACTTGTACACAGTCACACAGACCCAGTGCTGAGGAGGACCTTGCATGCTCTACTGTCACAGTCTTGAAATTCTCAAAAATTTTATTTTGCAAGTGAAATGTTAAGTACATGAACTTTTAAGTGAAATCTGATGGGAGAATGGACCATGTGTATGAGCAGAGGAGAAACACACCAAAAAAGGGGGAAAGAAAGCTATATATTTTAGTACCTTTATTGGCCCTTTCCTGCTTTTGAACAAGGAGCCCTGCATTTTTATTCTGCACTCGGCTGGCCCAATTATGTGTCTGGTCCTGATGATGGTCAAAGAGATCTATGTGTTAGATACTGTGGTAGATGGAGAATGGAGTGAGTAGCTATGAAAGGGTCAGTGATGACTTCACAGGGAAAATGAAACCTCAGAAGCTCTGAAGGACAAAGTGGGGGGACACCTTGCCAGGTGACAAGTGTACTCCAGAAAGGGAAAGCTAAGGAAGAAGCAGCAGCATTCTTACATAAATGTATAGATTTACAGGTGTACACTTATTTCCTCTAAGTTAAAAAAAAAGCTTCATTGAGGTTTTGCATATCCGCGATATACTGGGTTATAAAAATTTTTCTTTATCTGTGTACTAGGCACAAATTCCATTTTCTGGGGAAGTTCAGCACCTGGCAGTGCAGATGAGCAGATGAGTTCAAGGATGAGTAAACATGCCTTGCGTTTATATTTTTACCTGGGTTCGTGCCTCTCGCCCAAGCCGGAAAAGTGGTTTGGGAGCTTTCCGACCTGTCGGGGATGAAGGTTTCAATCTCGTTGTCCTGGGGAAACAGCGGTGGCATGGGGGTTTCCTCCTCGAAGTACCTCCAGTTGACATTGCCACAGAGTTTTATTATTTCCTTCTGGAGGTGCCTGCCGCACAGTCTCCTAGCTCTGCTGATTTCGCTCAGCTCACGGGAGAACCGAACTAACAGGAGCCCCAGCCACAGCAGACACACGCAGAGGAGCCGCGGCATCCCTGGGCCCCCGCCGCCAGGACGGCCGCACGGTCTAACAGCCGCGGGTCCCGCTCCTCCCGGCACCTGCGCCCGCGCCCGCGCCCGCGCCCGCGCCCGCGCCCGCGCCCGCCCGGTCCGAGCCGCGCACGCGCGCCTGGCGGTCCTGCGAGCGCGTGCGGACCTCGCGAGAACGATGGGGCGCGAGGCGCGAGGCGGAAGGTGCGAGGTGCGAGATGGCCGCGAGCTGGCTTCTTGCGCTCCCCCGGGTCCTCAGAGCATGGTAGGTAGCCGGCTCTAGTTCTTAAAATCTTTGATTCGTTTTCTTTGCCCTCCCCTCTAAAGAGGAGCATCCGTTGACACGCGGGGCCCCCGTTAACCGGTAAAATCAGAAAAGGTGTTGCGCCTCCCAGCGGAGTGCATTTCCCGCCCGTTTGCCTGGTTGGCAGCGGGGCGTCGCTTCCTCAGACACCCCTCCTCTCGTTTCCCCCCAGGTGTACGTCGCGGGAGGTTTGTTCACGTTTGCTCGTGCGCTTGTTTGGTAACCTCTTCCCTCAAGTCCCCAAGCGCCCTGCAGGCACGGCCGGGCCCGTGTTTGCTTCCCTGCGTAGCTCGGGGCCCCGCGCGCCGCCGGCATCGGAGGTGCTGGAGCCTGGACGCGCCGGAAGGCGCTGGAAGGCGGGGGAACGTGCGCTTCTCAGTCGGAGTCAGAGCGCGCTGGAGATCCCCGCCCGCTGCTCGGGGAGAAACGGCCCTGAGCCTCGATCTCTCGACCGGGGGCAGCAGCTGGGATGCTGACCTGCTGCCGTCGGCGATAGAGCAGACAGGACTGTGTGTAACTAGCTTGTGACAGGGACCCCGCGGGCTTTGCCTCTAAGAATCTCAATATTTTGCTAAACCAGGAGGTAAGGGACGGGGAAGCGCAGCGCCGTGGGGACGGGTGGCTTGATCGTTTGGGAGGAGATCTGATTGGTGCGTTGGCTCGGGCGGACGCACTAGCGGTCACCAGGGGGCAGTCGGGGGCCGCTGGGGAGGAGGCGCGACCGCCGCGGGGGCGGGGGTGCCCGAGCCCCGCGCGCGTCCGGGTGGGGTGCGTGTGGGGTCCGAGCGGTCTCCTGCTCCTCTCTGCCGTGCGCCTCCGGGCCTTCGTCTCCGTGGTCGGCTTCTCCAGCGTTGCCCTGCTGCCCGGTGGCACCCCGGAGCGCCGTTCGGTGAGCTGGACTCGGAGTTTTTCAAAGGTCAACGTGATTTGATTAGCACAAGGTCATCACCTTCCTTACAACACGGCTACCGTCCAAACTGTGGTGTGCCGTGAGTTCCAGCCAGAGCTCCATCAGGGGAGCCCTGTGAGAACGGACAACATTCCTTATGAGGAGAGGAAGACTGGAAGCAAAGTTCTGCTGACCTCTAGTGAGGGAGGCAAGCACCTGAATTGAGGGGACCATGCAGGCTGGGGTGGTAGGTGTCATGGAGGGGAGCCTTTGAAAACCATGGGGACGGGATGGTTTGGTGCTAAGACCCTGGGTTTCAAACACAGCATAATGGGGGAGCTGCGTTAGAATAGTGTCTGATGCTAGATTCCCAACCCAGTGACAGAATTGGATTTATATCGATTTGTTGAAACTAAAGAAGAGGGGCTCCCGGCTGGGTGACTCTTGAACTCAGGGTCGTGAGTTCAAGCTCCATGTTGGGTGTGGAGCGTACTTCAAAACAAAACAAAGCAAAAACTGAAGAAGTTGGGTATTTCTTGCACAGCAAAAACTGCTTGCAAATTCATACCTGTTACACATAGACACATATTCTTTTAGGAATAAGGAAGGTATGGCTTATATCTCACACAAGCAAGTAGAGGGGTTATGTTTGGGGGGCACTTTTCCATCTATAATGGAGGAAAATGTAAGCTAGGAGAAGTGTGTATGGAAGATGAGAGTAACTGAGTCATTGGATGGTGGTGAAAAACCTCAGTGTCATCAGTTCAGTGTGACATGAGAACTAGTGGGGTGGGGGGGAGGTGACCTTGAAGCAAATGGAGTTCTGGAACTGACAATGAGCAGTGTGCTGGGGTACAAATAAGATGAATGGAAGTGGTAAAATCGGGAAGAAATGTTCCATGATGAAAGTGAAAAATGTTGACTTTCTCCCTGAAGAGTTATGATCTCTCTCTGCTTCCTCAGTGAGAAAAAGCTCTTTAAGGTGGCCTCAGGGAGGACATGATGACCCTCAAAGGCTTGGTTGTGATTAGCCATGCCTCGGGATTTGGGATATAGGAATTGGTGTCTTCATCTCGTGTAATTCTGACTAAATACTAAGATGATACCATGCTGGTTTATCATTTTGACACAAATGTTCATATCATTTCACAGGTTATTTTGTGTATGTAAATGTTCTGTAAATTCTAAAATGGTGAGCCTGAATGTGTTCCTTTACCAATCTACCTCTTTTCTAAGATAAAACTTTAAGTTTCTTATTCAGTTATCTACATGACTATACATTTATGTCACTTAAAAATACTTACTGAATCTCTTAGAAGCATGGAAGTACTCTAACTTGAAAAATAATTGAGTTTATTTGAGCCCCCAAATCCAAATGTATTTGGTAGTGAACCTCTTTTCAAACATGATTTCAACAAGACAAGCCATTTGAGCTCAAGTAGAAAACTGCAAGGTTTGTGGTTTAATGTTAACATGGTCTACATTGGCAAGATCAATTAAAACTTTTTATTCCTTTGTATTTACCTCGTGTTAGGTGTGTATAAAATGAGTTATGTTAAATAATTAAGCTTTTTATAATCACTATGAAGTTAATGAGGTTAAAATGCAATTGGTGCAATGATAGCATTAATTAAAAAAAAGATTCTTTAACATCTTAAAAGGGTTGATTTTTGAGAGAAAGCATATTGTAGAGAGACTATGTACTGTTACAGAACAAACGAATGTAAACACTAATAATGATTTCTCACGTTCTAGTAACCAGTCATGGTTGATTTGGACATTGATAAATGCATCATGGAGAATATACATGAAAAGAGGTGAAAAAATTAACAATTACTCTATAGTGTGCCTATTTTCAGAACAATTATTTTGTTACAACCTCTTTTTTTTTTAAAACAACATAATTATATTGATAACTTCCTTCTCCTTTTGTTGGGAAAGTAGTACCTCCCTCAAAGATGACTGCTTGTCAGTGTTGTCTTCAGCTCTGGTGGCAAATGAGGAATGTTTTGTGACATCATTTTTAAGGTTCCTGCATGTTGGCTGATGGAAGGAGACAAGATTTTCTGTTAATTTTAAAAAGACAGGTGGGAGGTATGAAAAAATATTCATGTCAAGGAGAATTAGGAAAATTATAAAATTTTGTATAGGCCAAAAGTTAACTGTTGCCTCAAGATAATTAAACTTGCAACAGAATCAACTAGTGTCCTAATATCTAAACAGCTTACTTATAGTTGGGCAGTGTGACTTAGTACAGTATTAGCAAGGTTCTCTTGCCTCTGACTAATCCTAGGACTGTGCTAAAGCTTGCACGGTGATACTGTAGACTCCCCTGACACTGTTCTGGTAGAGTGCTCCTTCCATCTGCATGTGCAGGGTGGGGCTGAGCACCAGCAGCCAGTGAGGTCTTCAGCCAGGCCCTGCAGGCTGCCTTAACACTGGTGGGCAGCAACCAGCAGGAGGTGCAGACCAGCAGCGCAGGCGCTCTGCCTCACAGCAGCTCTTCCTGGATGTCGGAGAACCTCTTAGGGTGTTTCTCACACATAATCATCGTGATATCTAGGAATTCGATGGCACATAACTTCACCTTTCATTGCTTACCCATTGGGCTGTGCTTTCTCTAAAGAGTTGGCTCAGGGGCGCCTGGGTGGCTCAGTTGGTTAAGAGTTGGCTCAGCCGCAGCCAGACTCCTAGCAGGTAAGATCAAAACAGGCCCAGCATCCTGGACTTGGTCTCTCCAGCCTTTCTGTAGGGACTGCAGCTGCTGTCGCCTACTGCCTTCCTCTGTGTCCCTATCCTGGGTTTTAGAATACTCCCCCTTCCTGGCTCCAGGGAGCTTTTCTAGCACTTGGCTTAACACTCAGGTCTTGAGTCAAAGGTCCCAGCTCCACCCCTTTCCCCAACAGCTTGCAAAAAATTTGCTTTCTCAACACTTTCACCCTCTGCACCCCCCTCACCACATCCCCTTTCTCTTTGTGTCCTTAGTATTCTACTCCTTGCTTGTTTTAAAATTTGAATTTACCTCCTCTTCCCTCCTCTACAACTATTTTTATGCTTACTTAAATATTTGTAGTTTTTAATGTCATTTTCTTATCTAAATGTATGTTATGGTTATTATTGAAAATATAGTTACATAAAGTTGGGGGCACTTGGGTGTCTCAGTTAAGCGTCTACCTTTGCCTTAGGTCATGATCTCAAGATCCTGGGAGCAAGCCCTGCATTGGGTTATCTGCTCAGCGGGGACCCTGCTTCTCCTTCTCCCTCTGCCCCTCCCCCTGCTTGTGCGCACTCTCTCTTTCTGTCAAATAAATAAAATCTTAAAAAAAAATAAAAAAATAAAATTGACCTGTAAACTCATTAGCTAGAGATTGTCTTGGTTTAACAGTTACTGTATAAACTATTATTTTTCCAAATTACCCCATTTATTTCTATTTCATCTTAAAGCAGTAAAAGCACAATTAGATTGATTTCTGTAGTACCTTGTACATCCATCTATGGTATTGTGATGGATGCACAGAAAATTGTTCACAAAAGAAAGAAAACTGATGATGTTTAAACTAAGTTCTATGAAGAGTATTAAAATTCCTAAAATATCACTTTAGATTTGTAATAATGTATGAAGTTTACATGGACTTTTCCATTCCTTATTGCAGAGGACTGGAATTCTAAGCTTAGTAGGAACTTCTACTGGCTTGAGATCCTCATAAGGATTAGGAAAACACGTGGACCTCTGGTGTTGTCTCTTAAGTCTTAGCATTGGATTGAAGATCTTGTATCGGTAGGTAATCAGACTGTATCACTTTCTACAAA